ATAACTCAGAATATGGTTATCTTATCCAAATACGCTTGGAAATTGTTTTGCTTCAAAATATCAGAAATTAGGTGAAGCAAACATAGTTCAGTGAAAGAGTATTTCCTAGGTGTCATACATGTTCCTGCCCAGATTGAAATTTTCCAACAAAATATTTGTTCAAGATAAATGTGCGCTTGTTTACGGCAATTAAGTACTCAGATGTAATTTATTACAAGGCTGACACAAAATTGTTTATACCGACAGTTACCTGAAATAAAATAATGTATGGATTTAATAGTGTTAAAGAATAAGAAAAAAAATTAGTTCATCCAATATAAATCGGGGTAGTCATTGTTATAATCGATTAAAATCAGAATACAAAAATGTATCCAAAATATCCCGAAAATATCAAGATAAAGCCTAAGCGAAAATACGTATTTCGCTAACTGAGTTACCATCCTCAGTAGAACTGAAACAGAAATAGGAATTAGCTTCATATAGTTTCTTTCGACTGCAAAAAAGTTATGACGTCATCCGGTTATACATTATACAGAGACAAAGACAATGCAAAATATTTTAGGAATTTACCATCAAGCTCCGATCTGGTAACACAAATTCTTGATGGAAATTAGGTGATTCAATCATATTTTCATTAGGTTCCAGAAGATCATGCCCAGAAATAGTTTTATAATGTATTTTCATTTTATCAATTGGAAACCAAGAACAATATATTGATTATCTTGTATGGCGTATTTAAGATCTAGGAATTCAACAATTGATACCATAATTTATGCTTATTCCTTGAAATGGTAACTGTCAAAATGAAGGAACTCAGAGGGTTCCATCGAACATTATCTATCTTCGTTTTTTTCGTTTTTAATTGAGATTCCAGGAAATAATAATAATTGACAGATATCTATACTCAATTTGAATTATTAGAATTGATCATGAATGGCGAAGGAGGAAAAGTCAAAGTCGTCTCCACAATTTCGATAATTAGTAGGGAAGGGAGGGGCACAGGGTACCACTTGAGCAAAACCAATTCGTATTTCCATAATTCGAATGAATCAATAACTCCTTTCGATATAATATGTACACATCTAGGAACGATAAATTTCCTTTAGGTGAACCGTGTTAGGTGATGAAATAGTATATTATGTAACAAGTGTTATAAACGTCGTTTTAGTAACAAGAATTTTAAGCACGAGCGGAGCAAAGCGGAGCAGAGCGGAGCGAGTGTTTAATAAACGAGTGTCTAGAAGAGTTTATAAACGCGTTACATACTATGATTTTTCAACGGACTCCGAAAATTACATTAACATACCCGCAATTCCTGCTAACCTACAAAAAAATTCGAAGGAATAGGAATTGAGAACATAATACATGCAACTGCATGCAACCAGGGAGACACGTATCGTATAAGTGATATTGGTTGTAGATGTGTCCAGTCCATTGCCTACTAACCTTTGTTTCACGTTTAGCGCAAAATAAATGAATTGTTCTCAAAGAAGGATGCTTCATTTTTACACTTCTTGGAGATATGCAAGTACCAGAACATTCTCTTCGATTTCACTTTCGTCTACATTTCGCATATACTTTTAATGAAGGATTCTGATACAAACGAATATTTTTCGAATAATTCTGATACAAAATTCGAAAATAACAGTTGACAGTTAATACAATTGACAGGCCAGACATGTATCAAATTACTGAACCTGTGTTTAATGAACTGCGTTGCCATGGTAATGTGTTTAAGAAATCGTGTTGCCATGGTAAAGTGTTTAATATTACGAATAAATCACAGATCGACAATCCGTGATTAATCGATCATTTAGCGTGGTACATATCCGTACGCTAAATGCCATTTTAGTTATGTGAGTAGAAAAACGTATATAAACGCCTGGGTATATACAAAGAGGGGATAATCTCTTCCGTCGGGCCGAAAAATGGACTCGCTCGAAGGAGGAGCTGAATCGATGAAAAGCGTATGGCAATGTCGCCGTTCTCCTCTTTTAAATGCCCATGCACAGAATGCACACGGTTTCCCTGTAGGAAAATTAGTCTTGCCAGGCGTGTTTAGTGGAGCGGCATCGGCATATAGTAGAGAAGCTTGCAATTTTCACCATTGCTGGTAGATGATATGACCTAGATTTTAAGATATTGGGGCACTTTGAATTTCATAACTGAGGCGTGTTCTCTCCTCCCATAGTAAATGATAAAAACAATTATTAATATCACCTTATATTCTCAAGAAAAACTGTTATATTTGAAACATTTGTGCTATAAGAGAGGAAAAACTAAAATTCAGGGTGGAAATGAGTGAGTGCAAACTAAAATCACGTGGTGATTCCTCGTCATATCTAAGGAAATGAAGTTTTTATGAACATGTGTCCTGATCATTGCTTCGATTCTGGGATATACAGGATAAATAAGTTGGTAGTATCCATTGTTATTCATGATTCCCCTGTATCAGCTTCTATGGTGCCAAAATTCTATGATCTCAATAAAGGTTGTGTTGAGGAAACCAAAATTAATACTTAGAGTCGAATCAACATTCCATTGTTTCCTCAAAAACAATGAGAGATACAATAATTATACAGGGAACAAGAAAGTTATGTTTCCAATTGTTCAATCAAATGAAAATATAGAACTCGTACGATGATATTCAACATAAATATTGATATGGTGAAACACTGCGACGCCACTGGAATCATCTATGTGAATCTAATTACACCAGAAGAAGCTTCATGTTACTATTACCAAATTAACCACCAAGTTTCATAGAAATTGAGGAACAGAGTTTCAAGTAATTTTTAAAAAATGAATGGATTTTCACAATTTAATACCAAGCTTAGTCAGCACATCCTTGTCATCTACCTCTAAATATGTCAAACAACCCTCTACCAAAACTTGTTTGTACATAGAACGGTGAAGCTTCGGAATACATTGCCAAAGGAAGTATTCTCAGGATTTTATAATCTCTGGAAATTGAAGAAATCCAATACCTACCTTCTCTCCCTATTCTTCTTAGTTACGCACGAGGGAATCCCTTTCGTCAATTTCAGCCAAACGATCCATTTCTGAGAAATCTCCTGAAACGGTTAGATTTAATCTCAATTCACCACATTTATAAGAAAAAATTGAATATTCAAGGTTATCATCTTTTCAATAATGAACTCTGCGACAATTTTCTCAAATGACACACCTTTGGATAGCTGAATTCAAATATATATATCACACATAGGGTTTGTATACAGTATTTCTGTAGAATTCAGTGCTCTGGTAAAGTATTGGATGAATTCATAGAAGAATGATAGAATAATATTTAGAAAAAAACGCACGTTTTCGTCGAATTCCATTTCCATGTTAGCATTCTTTCAGATGTGATTGATACATACAGAATGATTCGTGTAGAAAAAATGACGTTATCGGTCATATCACTTGGTCATTTGGGATTTCCTCTCCTCGTTTCTATAAAATAAAAATATGAGTATTATTTCAATATATTGGACAGATGATTTGCCCCAAAATGTCACTGCGTTCAACAATTTTTTCTGTCATCTCTATCCAAAGACTCGTTAATCCAACGAACAGCAAGGCTCTGGAACACATTGCCAAGGGAGGTGTTCCCCGAGGCATATAACCTCTAGAAATTCAAGAAGAACACCAATTCCTACTTTATTTCCCTTGGTTCTCACGATGTTCTCTGAACATTACAGGATGTCCCTTTTCGTGGGAACCAGAACATAAAAAAAATCAAAAAAAAATATTGAGAATATATAAAATTTTCACGTATCTTGCATTCTTCTGAACAGAGACAATAGACAATTCTTGGTTGTTCTTGTGATCAGAAATGGCAAGAAAAATTTAGAATTTGATGTTTTCAGAAAAGAAACTAACAGTTACATAACCAATTTCAATCACTATTTTCAACACAAAATAGCAAGTTTAAATATTCTAGTACATAGACTAGTTTCATTTCCTCTGAGCAAAAAAAGATTCGATGTTGAAAGGAGTGTTGTTTATAAAGTGGCTGGCGGCAATGGTTATGATATTCAAATAGTAGATACATTAATAGGTAGACATAAATTTGAGTTAACACTTAGGAATTCTACGACTTTTCAAGCAGAAAAAAAGAATCCGACAAAAATTTCAATCCCGTTCAATCCCAAGTAGTACACATAAGGACTTGATAAGGTTCTCAAATACTTAAATTAGGTTTTGAAAGCGTTTATCAGTCCATCCAAAAGATGAGAAGGACACACTGGGGTCTTGCTCTACCATTAGACATATCATCGGCAATTTAGCGGACGAATAATACTGCCCTGGGGTATTCCCAAGTTGAATATAATTTTCTATGTAGATGCTTGTTGATTGCAGCTAACAGTTTCGTGATAGTAACCATTGCTTAAAATTGAATTGTTCAATTTTGAGATGTATCGTGGTGTATATCCTGATTTTTTTTTCTAAAGAATAAAAACTATGAAAAGCACTATGAACTGAACTACTAGTTATAATACTTATTCGAAATATTCAAGAAATGAAATTCGAGAATTGAATCTTGACGTTTACTTACTATTATTACTTGTCGAACAATTGTGTTGCTCTATAATCGATTTGTGAACCATATTATGGATCACTAAAATGCTGAATGTCAGAGATCAAATAAACCAAAAATGTGTGATAACAATACAAACAACAGTACGTCGGATGAATTTGACCCCAATTACGTCAGCAGTACGTCAGGGTCTATCCTCCAGTTATATTTTTTCTTGAAATCTATTTTGATAAATGGTTATTTTGAAACAACAACAGAATCATACGACATTTTATCTCGAATCATTGTTTATTGTTTTCTATTTTTCAATCTCTGCTGGGGAAAATATGAGCAAACATGACTATCAAGATAATACTGAGTAGGAGTTGTCAGATTTTCATTTCGTCCGAGATATTATTCGCTGATCTGACCTTTCATTGAATTCATTCCCCGATTGATTGTGGAATCGAAGGTTTCTTCTTCAGAAATGAATAACTCGAAACAATTTTTTCTCCTTCTCCTTCTCCTTCTCCTTCTCCTTCTCCTTCTCCTTCTCCTTCTCCTTCTCCTTCTCCTTCTCCTTCTCCTTCTCCTTCTCCTTCTCCTTCTCCTTCTCCTTCTCCTTCTCCTTCTCCTTCTCCTTCTCCTTCTCCTTCTCCTTCTCCTTCTCCTTCTCCTTCTCCTTCTCCTTCTCCTTCTCCTTCTCCTTCTCCTTCTCCTTCTCCTTCTCCTTCTCCTTCTCCTTCTCCTTCTCCTTCTCCTTCTCCTTCTCCTTCTCCTTCTCCTTCTCCTTCTCCTTCTCCTTCTCCTTCTCCTTCTCCTTCTCCTTCTCCTTCTCCTTCTCCTTCTCCTTCTCCTTCTCCTTCTCCTTCTCCTTCTCCTTCTCCTTCTCCTTCTCCTTCTCCTTCTCCTTCTCCTTCTCCTTCTCCTTCTCCTTCTCCTTCTCCTTCTCCTTCTCCTTCTCCTTCTCCTTCTCCTTCTCCTTCTCCTTCTCCTTCTCCTTCTCCTTCTCCTTCTCCTTCTCCTTCTCCTTCTCCTTCTCCTTCTCCTTCTCCTTCTCCTTCTCCTTCTCCTTCTCCTTCTCCTTCTCCTTCTCCTTCTCCTTCTCCTTCTCCTTCTCCTTCTCCTTCTCCTTCTCCTTCTCCTTCTCCTTCTCCTTCTCCTTCTCCTTCTCCTTCTCCTTCTCCTTCTCCTTCTCCTTCTCCTTCTCCTTCTCCTTCTCCTTCTCCTTCTCCTTCTCCTTCTCCTTCTCCTTCTCCTTCTCCTTCTCCTTCTCCTTCTCCTTCTCCTTCTCCTTCTCCTTCTCCTTCTCCTTCTCCTTCTCCTTCTCCTTCTCCTTCTCCTTCTCCTTCTCCTTCTCCTTCTCCTTCTCCTTCTCCTTCTCCTTCTCCTTCTCCTTCTCCTTCTCCTTCTCCTTCTCCTTCTCCTTCTCCTTCTCCTTCTCCTTCTCCTTCTCCTTCTCCTTCTCCTTCTCCTTCTCCTTCTCCTTCTCCTTCTCCTTCTCCTTCTCCTTCTCCTTCTCCTTCTCCTTCTCCTTCTCCTTCTCCTTCTCCTTCTCCTTCTCCTTCTCCTTCTCCTTCTCCTTCTCCTTCTCCTTCTCCTTCTCCTTCTCCTTCTCCTTCTCCTTCTCCTTCTCCTTCTCCTTCTCCTTCTCCTTCTCCTTCTCCTTCTCCTTCTCCTTCTCCTTCTCCTTCTCCTTCTCCTTCTCCTTCTCCTTCTCCTTCTCCTTCTCCTTCTCCTTCTCCTTCTCCTTCTCCTTCTCCTTCTCCTTCTCCTTCTCCTTCTCCTTCTCCTTCTCCTTCTCCTTCTCCTTCTCCTTCTCCTTCTCCTTCTCCTTCTCCTTCTCCTTCTCCTTCTCCTTCTCCTTCTCCTTCTCCTTCTCCTTCTCCTTCTCCTTCTCCTTCTCCTTCTCCTTCTCCTTCTCCTTCTCCTTCTCCTTCTCCTTCTCCTTCTCCTTCTCCTTCTCCTTCTCCTTCTCCTTCTCCTTCTCCTTCTCCTTCTCCTTCTCCTTCTCCTTCTCCTTCTCCTTCTCCTTCTCCTTCTCCTTCTCCTTCTCCTTCTCCTTCTCCTTCTCCTTCTCCTTCTCCTTCTCCTTCTCCTTCTCCTTCTCCTTCTCCTTCTCCTTCTCCTTCTCCTTCTCCTTCTCCTTCTCCTTCTCCTTCTCCTTCTCCTTCTCCTTCTCCTTCTCCTTCTCCTTCTCCTTCTCCTTCTCTTTGTAATGCAATAAACCAGTTACGTTAAATGGAATATAATATATTGTTTATCCCTTGGACAACACTAAGGGAATTTCCTATCATGTTTGAAGAACATCGAGTGTACCTAGGGAGGATAGTGTGAGGATGTAGGTGGTGGAATTGTTTTCAACATCAGAAGGTTGTGGAAGATCACAACTGGCGTAATAAAATTATGATGGATAGACGAAGAATATTGCACTTTCTGTTGCTTCCTCGATATCACTTGGGAAACCTGAACTTTAATCAGCCTTTTTTCACTTATATATATAACTAACAAATCTAGTCCGTGAATTTCATTGCTATATTGTTCGACGGATACTCCAAAGTGACGGGCAAAGTGAACTTGTCTAATAAATTTTGGACATAATGGTGACCATTACCACGTTAATTTCTATGGGCCTGATTTTGTGTTTTCGCCACCTTATGGGGCTCAAGTACTAACTTCGCATAATTAATCAATATGTCTTGAAATTTTATCTGAAGATGATTCTGTATGGGCTCGATACATGTACGATGATCTGATTCAATAATTGAAATTGTGGAGACGACTTCGTGTTTTGATCCTTGTTAACTAACCACTCCATTTTGTGATACGATGGACTTCTACGAGAGTTTTATGTAGAACTGATGATTATTTTTGTTCTAGCGAGATTCTTCACTTAATATCCCCCTCAGGAATGAATTATTGCCAGATATTTTTTGAGAATTATCACAAGTCGCGATGCCACGAGGGATAATTTTCTCTAAAGATTCATTCACGAGACAATTCTCCCGAACACAATTCATGCACGTGGGGGGTTCGTTGAGAAAATGTTATACCGGAATAATATTTTAAAAAAACACATCAAGTTAATATGTTCTCTTTCTGTATTCTAGTGAAATGAAATTCATAGTATCAGATACGAACTTGTATAGAAATAATTGATTTCAAATGATTTTCCCAGTTGGATTCGGAAAAGAAAATGTCAAAATCATTTCAATTTGACTAATGACTAATTATATGATAGCTGTCATGTGCCAGAAAATTTCCACTTATCAATTCTAGGTCTACATGCTCATGTTGATGAAAAATTTCCATAAATTTTGCTGGTTTACATTGTAACAATGTCAAAATAAAGCATCTGAGTGGTTGAAAATGACTGCTATGAATTTTCAACAGAATTGAGAATATTCATTTCGTGTCATACTGAAAGGTGTCACCCTCCTTTATTCTTATAATTCTTAACATATTTCCGTAATTCAAAAACTTCTTTGGGATAATTTTTCACGAAGTTTCAGAATCTGAGCTCACCTTTTTTCTGTATAAAAAAAAAACATGGCGACTAGAAGAATATTTTCAATTTTCAAATAATTCGATGGGCCTCTTCAATCTGAATTGAAAAATATACGATAAGGATGTCTACCATGGGGGTAAGTTGTTGATGGTTTCTACACATCGAATCGTCGTACGGAAATTCTCTCAGCGCTGTGTTGTAGAGCTCAAGATGTGTCAATGAGAAAGTGTATTTTGTTCTCCTGTATCATTTCAAATAACGTAAAAAAAAGCCATCCCCATGTAGCAATCATGACATCAGTTGAAAATATCAGTGTTCACATAGCATTCGCAAATTCACAACCGAACCCTTCTTTCTCAATTATCATCTCAATTTTTTCTTTATGTTCTGGTTCCCACGAAAAGGGATATCCTGTGATGGTCAGAGAACATCGTGAGAACCAAGGAAAATGAGGTAGGAATTGGTGTTCTTGAATTTCTGGAGGTTATATGCCTCGGGGAACACCTCCAATGGCAATGTGTTCCAGAGCCTTGCTGTTCGTTGGATGAACAAGTCTTTGGAAAGAGATGTTCTGCAGGTCTCCAAAGTGACCACGAAGAAGTGCGAAGCCTCAACTCGACGGGTTGATCTCGCGGGGACTGCCAAGGGAGGAACAATTGTTGATATTTCAGAAGAGCATCGTCCATGAAAATATCTATAAAATAGAGCCAGAACGCCAACTTTTCTACGGTGTTCTAGAGAAGTGAGTGAGTTTGTCAGCGGGGCATCACCCACGAGACGAATTGCCCTTTTTTGGACAGAATCCACTCCAGATATGGGAACAGTATTCCGGGACAGGTCGAATCTGTGCCTAATACATCATAAGCATAGACTGGAAGTGAAATAGCTCCTGGCCCGAAAAAGAAAACCAAGTTTTTGGGATGCACTATTAGCACTTGATCTCACGTGATTTTCCCAAGAAAGGTTATTGCCGATAGTAATACCAAGCATCGAGATGTATGTCTTCAAAGGTATAGTTACTCCTGACAATCTTAGGTTGGGCACAGTGGGATCGGCTTTTTTATAGGAAAGGCATGCTTGTGTTGTTTGCCATCAAATATACCAAGTTATTGGATCCCCGTTCGAGAATCGTTGCCAAGTCCATATTCAAGTTGTCAACAAATGTAGAAGTATTCATCGAAGAGTCATCAGATAAGCGAAACAATTTTATCACAGAGAGAGATTGGATGAAGCTGATATTAAGAGTAAGAAGTGTTGTAAAGTGATGAATAAATTGAGAGGCAAAACCAAAATACATCAACTTGTTTCAATTGTGCCCAATGATCTGAACTCCTACTATTGTACAATTGCACGTGAATTAACAAAGAATGTTTTCCACACAAACTCACATTTGCAATGCGTGAATGGAAAAAAAGTAAAAATTGTAATTTGTCTCACCGATACTAACATCCCCGAAGTCAAAGAGATTTAAAGGAGATTAACAACAAAACTTCCTCTGGATTCGATTAAATTTCAATCAGAGTAATTCTGAACTTGCCTGACAAAGACTTTATAGCTCTTGTTGAACTCATCAATGATTCTTTTAGAACTGGCACCTCCCCATTCTTCCTGATGATATCAGTGGTTATTCCTATCCTTAAAGGTGATGATGAAAATGACCTATCGAATTATAGACCGATAATATAAAAGCTGGTGAAGAAAAGAATCCAAAACCTTTTCCTGATTATTGGAATAGTCAGTGCAGAACAATTCGGGTGTCAATCGTGCATTTTATGTCGGAACTTTCGAGCATTCGACTGCCTGAATCACGAAATACTGTTAGGAAAGCTCCAACGGTATGGCATCAGAAATATGAGTTTTCATTAATCCAAATCTTATTTATAGAAACAAAGTGCGTAGTAGGGACAATTCGGGAGTTGCAAAAGTTGAATATGGAGTGCCACAGGGATTTGTTTCGGGGCCAATTTTGTACCTCCTATATATCAACGATATCACGACGAACCTGAAAATAACGGCAAAAATCACTACTTTTGCAGATGACACAACTATTCAATCGCATAAAAAATCACCCATTGAATTGCAAGGAACAATAGGAAGCGATTGATTGAGTATCAAGCAAGGATGTGAACCTAACTTCTGAGTATTCAATTCAAAGTGAACGAACATCATAACATTTCGCTGTTTTCTCCCGTTAGCATATCAATGGCAGAGGCTAATATTGAATACAAAATAAAAACAACATTGCCTGGATTAGACATTGATTATTAGATAAATTTGGAAATCATGTCAAACTCGCATCTGGATTTTTTGCAATACGAGTTATAGCGAGTTAGGTCACTCAGCTGCAAGGACTGCGTATTTTACTTTGATTGAAGCTCACCTGAGGTATGGAATTGATTTTTGGGGGATATGTACTTAACTGACAATTTTTTCGGAATGTTCTTATACTCCAGAAAAGATTTCTATCTGTAAAGCAAAACCTAGAGATTCACGTGAAGAGCTGTTCCGAAAGTGCAGCATCTTATCATTACACATTTTAAAATCAGCCAGCCTCTTATACAAGAATAAAAACTCATTTGAAATAGTCGACTAACAATAAAATCAACAATAATCGTACAACGGTGAATGATTCAATAATATTTAATGGTATCAAAATGCACGATCACCTGCCTACAAGCAAAAGAGATATTACATGTTATAAACTATTCAAAAGAAATCTAAAAAACATCCAGTTATACAGCCATCGTTCTACGATATCAGAGATTATTTCACTGCGCCACTACCTAGACTTTCAAAAATTCCGCAATATTTCTAACGAGAAGAAGCAACAACCTCGTTATTTCGAATCGAACACCTTGTATTTCATTGCATTTTTAGATTCACCCAGAAGAGCTGATTTCATCAATGCATCACACTTGAGAGCTAGCGGCAATGATTACAGAGCTATAGTGTGTTCAAAATCGATATTTTTCAACTAGGTATAAGATTTGTTCATGTAGAAACTATTCATCATTGGTCAAATCGGCTTATATAACCCTATCTCAACTTCAGATTCACTATCTACTGACATTCATTTGAAACAAGTACAGGGTGGTTCAACATTCAGAATTCCGATCACCCTGTATCTGTTCCAATTAAATTTCAGTAGATAGTAAATCAAAAGTTGAGATAGGGACATAGAAGCCGTTTTGACCAATGATGAATAGTTTCGACACAAATAAATGCTAAAGTTGAAAAATCTCCATTTTGAACACCCTATATATATCCCTAAAATCATTCCAGCTAGACCCCAAGTGTGATGCATTGATGATATCAGCTCTTTGGGAAGAATCTAAAAATGCAATTAAATACAAGGTGTACCATTTGAAGTAACAAAGTTGTTGCTTCTTTTCTTCAGAAACGGCAAAGTCGCAGGGCTGAAAATATTTTAGAGCGATGTTCACCTCGAAAATAAAGTTGAGGTGTTTCAGATTTTTGTCATAATCTGGTTTTGGCGACCTACAGAGCCTCTGTTTCGATTTCAAAGGGCCACCCTGTATATAAACTTCGTCTGTATTGTCTCCGTTTGTTTCTATACGGATGTTTATTTTGTATTCACTGTGAATTATTCTTGACTATTTTATAATTAGCTGGATAATTAGCATTAGTTATATTTTTCGACAATAAAGAATAATATCTTGATTGATTGATGTATACCT